TTTATATAAAGGGCTTTGTACATTAAGAAAACATCCCAACCCAGTCCAGTCCAATATTAGCTCATATGTCTGATACCAATCAATAAAGTCCTCTTCAGACTCGCACAACCCATGCAATGCAGGATGATCAGAGCCCAGTGGGTAAAATTCTTTGGATCTAGTGGTGTAAGCATCTCAGTGCGGGCAGGGGTCTCCACATGGCTTCTCCAGCTTCCAGGACTGCTTCAGGGTAGGTCCATGTGGCTTCTCCTCAGGGATGTCTTGAAGGGAATCAGCAGAGAGAGATAGTGTCTCCCACTTCCAAGAAGGAATATTGGATTTCCCAGAATTCTCAGGAGAAGGCCATGCCCACACAGAGGCCTCATTGGCTAAGATATAATTGATAGCCTAGATTCCATCCCTACACTCTAAATCCTCAAATTGAACAATGATTATATAACTACCACAGGGGGTCCCCCATCATGTGCGTATGTGTGTGTGTGTGTGTGTGTGTGTGTAGAGAGAGAGAGAAAGAGAGAGATCTTGAGGTAGAGACAAATAGTTGTTTAGATAAGAATGTAGACTCTACTATGCAAAGAATAGTTGAATACTATATCTGCTGTGAAAATAAATTCGTTACATATTGCTAAAAATATAGATTATTTTATCATGTGTTTAGTCAGTTACTTCTACTGAAAAGCTGAAATTTAAACTGTACAATGTTGACTTAAAAGTCATTTAGTTGGTTAAATATCAAATATAAAGCATCTATTTCAGTTCCAAAATTAATATTGGATTGTTAGCATTATAAAACCATGGTGTAGCAGGTTACCCAGTGGGCTGCTAACCTCGAGGCCAGCGGTTCGAAGCCATCAGTCACTCTTTGGGAGAAAGATGAGGCATCATACTCCCATAAAGAGTTACAGTCTTGGAAACTGACAGAGGCCAGTTCCTACCCTGTTTGTGCCATGTGTGTTGTGTGGGTCATGTGTGTTGCTTTTGTGGTGTGTGTTGTATGGGTCATGTGTGTCCGTGTCAGGTGGCAATGTTTTAGTCCAATAAACCTATTCATATAAATATATTCATATATATGGATACCTATTCATATATATATTATGCCTCCTTCCTTACTAGATCCATCTGTACTAATATTAATAAAAATAAAATACAAAATTTCCATTTCTCTTTACTTCTTACTTACATTATCAATTCTTTCTACCCCAATCCTTCCTCTAATCCCAACTATATTTACTCCAAAGTGGGGCATTAGGCTTTGTACCAAAATGACTATTGACAGTTCAAACCCACCAGCCACTCCAAAGGAGAAACATGTGGCAGTTTGCTTCGATAAAGACTGCAGCTTTGGAAAGGATATGGGGCCATTCAACTCTGTTCATCAGGGTCATTTGGAATCAGACTTGACTTTGGATTATCCTTCTTTAAAGAGGAAGCATCCAGAGATCACAAAGATAAAATAGTAAATGAGGCTTTCCTAACTACTAAATATCAAAGCATGCATCTAGCTAAGGCATTGATTTAAAAAGCCATGCTTTAAAACATTGCCCTGCACCGATTCGACATCCCCAATTGTGGCACAACTTCTATTCCTCTACTTTCACAGTGGTAGATGGTCTTACATTTATATGGCAATAGAACAACCAATGCCTCCCCCATGAAACTGAGGTTTGAGAACATAAGAACCAGCAGAGTAGGGAATATACAAGCAGAGAATTCACAAGGTGATGTGAGTAAGTAAGTAGTGTGAAATGAGAAACGATATGACGGACATAAAACTGCAAAGAACATGTTTAAAGATATCTCCTAACTATTTAGGAGATATCTTTAAACATGTTCTTTGCAGTTTATGTTGCTACATCAGTAGCAACACTCCAGTAAGTGGGAGGCTAAAGACTGGGAATCAAGGCTTGGCAGTAGGGGTGTTGGTTAGGCAGTGAGCACTGTCTGCCACAAGAAAATCGTAATGCTACAAATAACCCCGGCTGTACAGTAGCCGCCTTAGCCACAAACCAAAGGATCCTTTTCACAGAAATTCTGTGTAGAGAAGACATTTTCCCTGTCTCTACACTTATCGCTTAGCAACCAATAAAAATGTGGACTTTATTATCTTTGGAGAGTAAAGATTTTGATGTTGGTTTTGGTTTTGGTGTCTGGAATGTCATTTTTTAGCACAGACATGGAATCCTGTATGACATGACTGTTTATTAAAATGTTAATATTTGTCATGATCAATATTTAAATCATTGTATAGATGTGTGAGAGTGGATGGGAGGAACAGAGAGAGGGAGAGAGAGTGCTGGTGTCATGCTCCAAGTGGTGGACTACTATCTGCAAGCTTGGTGGTTTGAACCCCCGAGCTGCCCCAATGAGAGATAGTGGTATCTGCTCCCATAAAAGATTTACACCCTTGCAGATGATATACCGCATTCACACACATAACATACACACAATCTGTCGTCTCTAAATTGTAATCCAATAGAATACTCTGTGTGTGTATGTATGTGTACAAACCCACATATCCTTCTAAACTTTCCTTCCCAGCCTTTAGCCTCCAATTTACTAAGGATGTTCACCTTCTCACCGGTTATCAAACTACTCCCCCCACCCCTACCTCTTATATTCTTATCTGGAAATAACCATGGGATTAAAACTTTAAAACCAAGTCTTATGTTCTTTAATGTGAGCCTTTCCATCTCTGATTCCTATATGGTGTGGAAATGTCTATAGTTGAAACATTAAGGCATTATCTCATTTGCTTAGTACCTTAGTTATCTTTGTAATTCAAATCCCCTGAGAAAAACACTTCCAGTAGCACCACGACTTTCAACGTTCTTTTAGAGATTCAATACCCAACATGATTTTCAATCCCACTGCACTGCAGGGTGGAAATACGAGCGTTGGAGTCTTCCATCAATTTCCATGAGGGATGGATTCTGAACTCTGTGCATGAGAATTATGAATAATTATTGAGAACATATAGTGCTTTTTTAGTTAAAGCTGCTATAAAATTACAAAAGTGCACCATTTAGGACATTGTGCTGGGCACATTGTATTCTGCAGCCTTTTCTTCAGTGGTTCTCAACCTGTGACCCCCGGTGGGGTCCAAAAGACCCTTTCCCAGTGGTCGCCTGACAGGTCGCAGCATTAGGAAGGTTGAGAACCATTGTATAGATGATACTTTATTCTTCACTGTGAAAGGAAGCAAGTTATCACATTCAATCAAGGCTTAGAGCCAAGTGAGCCTTTCGGTTTGATAAATCGAGCATGGTTGGATGGTGGAAAGAGAAGTGGAGCAGCTTGGATGGATGACCTTTGAAAGTGACTGTTTATTTGATCACGGTCAAATAGTCCAGCATTTAAAAGTAAAGAAAATTGAGTTTATGGCTTATCCCCTTTAGATGGGAACTAAAGGTAGACGAATAAACACAAGCTTCTTGATAAGTTCATGCCTGTAGAAGCAGGAACTCACCTAATAGAGTGGATTGTTGTGAATTCAAAACATGTAATTTCCCCTTTCCAGATTTCACTGTGAACAGCTGGTAAACTGCCTTACACATTTTAATATCCATTCTGGGGCTCAGCTGTGAATTCAGGTCAGCCCCCTCCCTTGGCTTGGATTCTGACTCAGGGTGACCCTGTAGGGCAGGATAGAACTGCTCCAGTGGGTTTTTTAAGACTGTAACTCTTTACAGGAGTAGAAAGCCTCATTTTTTCTGACCTTGCAGATCACAGCACAAGGGAAACCACTACGTAGGCAGGGTTCCTTCAAGACAGCCTCAAATAAAACAAAAACAAATTCACTGCCATTGGGTCAATGCTGACTCATAGTGACCGCCTGGTGGGTTCCCAGATGGTAATGGTTTACAGGAATAGAAAGCCCAGAATTTCTCCCTGGGAGCTGCTGCTGGTTTCCAACTGTGCACCATATGGATCACAGCCCAACCAGTAACCACTACACCACCAGGGCTCCTTGCAGAGATAAATTAGTGGAGGATGCCCTGTGTAGAAAGAAAGGAATATCGTGTGAGGCTGGGGAATGAATGTTGAGTATTTGATGGGGGGTATGGGGCTCAATGGTCAGACAATCCTGAATAAAAAAGGAAAGGTTTCTCAGACTGTCTTTCTCTGATTCCCAGTCCCGATTTGGCCACCATCAAGCAAGCAAACAATGTCTTCATTCTAAGATATTAGGTTAGCTAAGCAGAGTAGCCGTCCGGAGAAAAGAAGTCTGTCCCACTTCCACTCCCTAGCCTTCTGTATGTCCACGATTGAAGACTTTAATTCCATCCCCACTAGCACCCCATGATCTCTGGGGAAGCTCCTCTTCTGGAAAAAGACGCCCCAAATCAATGTAGCATCGCACCAAAAGGTATTGGAAAAGGGTTCTTTGAAGTCTGGTAGGTGTTGGAAGTGGACGCTTTTGGGGCCCTCCTGGCACCATCCTCCCCGCGCATCCAGACCTTCCAGGGCCCTCTCTGGAGCTCAGAACCCGCCCCGAAGGCCCCGGAGAAGCAGGCCCGCGCGCGCCTCCATCCTCACAGGGCACCCAGCCAGGGCGGGCGGAGGTGGGGGTGGGCGAGGAGGGGCTCCCGTGTCACGTGAGCGCGCAGGGCCCTCAATAAATACCCCGCGCGCCCGCCAGGGAGTCCTGGAAGCACTCATCTCCGGGTTTCCACGCCGCTTCTGCCCGCCCGCCCGCCTTTGCAGGAACGCCCGCCGGCCCAGCCAGTGCCCGCTCGGTGCCCGCCGGTCTCTCCGCCCCTTGGGTCCCGCAGCTTCTGCGCAGAGACGCCAGGGCGCCCACTCTGGCCAGCTCGTCTGCCCCCGCGGCAGGCTCCCCTTGGGAGAGCCGGGGCGGCCACTTCGTCCAGGTCCGCTGGGAGGATCACAGCCAGGCGCTTGCGTTTCACTGCACGTAGCGCCCGGCCCGCCCCAGGACGCCCGGTGGGTGCTCGGGCCCTTTCCCAAGGCAGCGCCTCTCTTTTCGGGTGTGCGCGGCTGCCGGGGCGCAGTGTCCGGAGGCCGACGTCCGGTTCGGCCCAGCGCTCCCGGAGGGCTTCACACTGGGGAGGTAAGGGCATCCCAACGCTCGCGCCCGCTTCCCTGGTCTACTTTTCCCTTTACAGCTTACTTTCCAAAGATCCCCCTGGAGGGGATCCCTGGGGAAGGAGAGTGGGTGTGGGGCGATGGGGACTTGCCAGAGCTGGTTTGGGGAATTTTCCCCGTTTTCCCTCCCTTGGCGTTCTTTTCCTTTGGGGAAGGCGTCCTGTGCCCCGCAGTGTGCGGGAGGCAGAGCGCTCAGTCGTGGGTCGATGGCTGGCTGGCGGCCGCTGATCTGGACCACAGTCTAGGCACATGCTTTCCAGGAAATCGAGTGTGTGCTTGAGCTGCGCCCAGGCAGGCGGCGATTTCCTTGTGATAAAGCGATTGAGTCCCCTTGTTTTCCTGGGCACTCCAGATGTACTTAGGGATGCACGTGTCAATGGCATTTGTAGTTTTACGCATTTCACCCTGTGGGTTGCACAACACGGTTGGTTGGTGGAATTGATGTCACTGAATTGCAGACCTGAGAAACGGTGAATGTTGTGTTTTACATATTCTCACAATAGAAAAAACATCACCCACAACTTCTGAATGTTATCCTTCCTGCTTCCCTTGTATAAAATGATGCATGCCTTAAGAGGTGGAGGCAAAGATCTCTACATCGATATCATGTATTTTAAGTATATAATAACCATTGTAGCCTCGTCTAGCATCTTGTACAATATTGTTTTGTCGAAACGATGAATTTTCGAAAGGACATCTGGAAGAAACAACGGGATAGGAGGGAAGTAAAAGTTTTAAAAGTAGATGCTCATTCTCTGGCATGAATCAATCTGACCCACTCCTATTTTAACTATTGTTTTACTTCTGTTACTAGAAATTGAAGATCCGCTGGTATTTTCATCCTAATCACCTTACATGTTGTTTTAGCCCAAAGGAGTGGAAGCGCGTTTCTTGGAGATTATCCTGGGGAAATCCTGAGGGCATTCATTATGAAGTGTACCACCCAGGAGTGGCTCAGAGTAACCGCAGTGCTATTCATGGCTAGAGCAATTCCAGCTATGGTGGTTCCTAACGCCACGGTACTGGAGAAACTCCTGGAAAAGTACATGGATGAGGATGGCGAGTGGTGGACTGCCAAGCAAAGAGGGAAAAGGGCCATCACAGACAGCGACATGCAAAGTATCCTGGACCTTCATAATAAATTACGAAGTCAGGTGTATCCAACAGCTTCTAATATGGAATACATGGTAAGGACGTTTTTCAAGTGGTTTGTACAATGAAATGTTGGGGTGCTTCCTAAGTTATCCTCCATCTTTAACTGCCTGTCTTGGACATATTTTTGCTGTTTGTTCTTTTGGAATAGTTTCTCCCCTTTGGGGGAAGTAGTCATCTGCATTTTCTTTTATTAATGTTCCTCTCATTTCTAAGAGCGCCTTGCATTTTTGATTAGTATTAATTGTGCTTAGGTGCGGCATTCCTACTAAGCGCACTGACTGCTCTTCCCTGGAAGGCTGTGCTACTGCAATGCTGCTGCGTTTTCTATCAGGTGATTTAGAAACTTCATCTGAATGGCAGGTGGGCAAAACCGAGGGACTTTGAAGTTGATGATACTTTCTGGATATCTGATGGGTTCTAATTGGCCTTTGTAGCTTTAAAAATATGTAACCGATAAACTGCAGGGTATATTTGTAGTTGTTTTAGGGAATGTTTGTTGATGGTTCCCCCCTAAATTTATTATTTGTGAGCA